AAGGGAGTCAAGCTTTAAGAGGTTGAGTATCCATTTCCGTGCTATGGACAAGATAAAGCAACGATATTGAAGATCGTTCTCCAATTGAATTGTGTCGCACGGACCAAAGTAGAATGGGATCTCATCTCACAGATACAAGATTTCATCGATCACCAAAAGCCAAAATAAAATTGAAAGATGAAGAAATGAGGAGAGAAAAAGAGGTGGTCTCGGATCCAACATTATTCATCAATAATTTGACTGATAATGAATTACGGAAATGTCGTCATCGACCAAAACAGATGAAATGACATAAAGTCGAAAATGAGAAAGAGGAGAAAAAGTCGGTCTCAGGTCCATCGTTTCTTATCAATAATTTGACAGAAAAAATAATAGAGGTCTCCTCATCGACCTAAAAGGCAAAAATGCCCAATAACAAATGAGAAATAAAGTTACCTCAAAAATAGAAAACTATAAACTTCCAAATAGAAAATATTAAGAAAATTAAATAAAACTCTAAAAAGAAAATTAATATATAAAATTCTAAAAGAAATAAATATAAAATAAAAAAAATATAAAAGACTTTAAAGAAATGTTAAAAGAAATTAATATATATATATATATATATATATATATATATATATATATATATATATATATATATATATATATATATATATATATATATATATATATATATATATATATATATATATATATATATATATATATATATATATATATATATATATATATATATATATATATATATATATATATATATATATATATATATATATATATATATATATATATATATATATATATATATATATATAAATATGTTTACAAGATAATAACAAACTTATAAAAATAAATATATAATGACATATATACATAATAAATAATATATATACATACTAAAATTAATTAATAAATAAAAATAAAATAAAAGAACAGAGGGGGGGGTTAGAGAGTGAAGTAGGGGTGCGCTATGGGCTGTGAGACCCATTCAACTTCCTCCAAAAAACGGAGGGTATAATCCCAAAAACAATATGTAAGGATCAATTCACGATGGGCTAGAAAGCCCAATGAACTCACCACTAGAAGTTGGTCCGAAAACAAGGGCCCTTAGGTTCATGAATAAGACAAAAAAATAGATTATGGTATCCAAAACTCGTTCCCACAAAATCCATCAATAAAAAGCTTGGAATTAAGAAAATCAATGTGAATCAAGGAAAACGGAGAAGAAAACGTGCTCAACTCATCGTCATCACACTCACGGCGCCGACAAGGAAATCTCACCCTCAGTTTCTCAATGGATTTCGATCTACTCTTCCCTTCATTCAATCTCATTTGGGTTCACGGCTGTTTTTGGGTATGGAAGAAGGTTTACGGTTGATGGAGGTTGTTGGGTTATGGTATCACGATGATGAGTGGTTACAGATGGTTATGGAAATGGTGAAAAAATTTGTTGGTTTGGAAGAAGAAAAGCTGCTTCTGGGTTCGCTTCGGAAGACGAGTGGTGAGTTGAATGGTGGTATGTGAATCTGAGTTTAATCTGGAGAAGGGTTGAAGTTTGAGTTTTGGGAATGGAGGTTTTGGTTCGCGAGTTTGAAGGAGAAGGTTGTTGGTGGTGGCTCGCCGGCGATGATGTTTGGAAGGGAGTGAATATGGGTCGAAGTGGGTTGTGTTGTTTGGAGTTCGAAGTTGGTGTTAGAGTTAGGTGAGTATTGAGATTCTGGGTTGTGTTTCTGTTGATTTGAAAGTGATTTCACCGGAAGAACGCAGTGGTTAGAGGTTCATGATTGATGACGGAAGTTTGAGTTTATGTTTGCAGATGAAGGATGAAGATGGAGGTTTGTTGAAAACGGTTGATGAACGATGGTAAGTAATTTTCTGGGTATTTGCGTTTTGAAGTTGTTGGTGAAGGACACGGTTGAAGATGATGGTGGAGACAGACGGTTTTCGTGTCAAGTTTGGTTGATGGTGAAGAAAATGGTTGAAATGGGTGTTTTTTTAGATGATGAATAGTATGAAGGTCGAAGGTGGTAGAATGATGAAGATGAAGTTTGGATGAAGGTTGGGCGGCTCGCAGCTTAGGGTTTCGTGAGCTGTAGGAGACAATGAACAATGGGTTATATACCTACTGTTCGACACGTGGCGCAAGACTGGTTAAGTGATTAATGGACCGATGAATAGAATAATTGCTGATTAATTCCACATAACCACCGATTAATGAATAGAAGCTGATGACTATGTTGACTTAATGATTAAAACTATATTTAATGAAAGCTCTAACTAGCAAATAAATTCTGGTTTAACTAAAAAAACAAAGTTAATTAATTCTAAGAAATAAAAGAAATCTTAATTAAAGTTAAAAACCTAATTAATCTCAATTAAAAATTAAACTAAAACTTAATAATAATTCTAAAGAAAACTATAACAAAAAGAATTCTATGTCTAAACATAAAAATCTATATTCTAATATAAACAATTATCTAATAAAACTCTATTTAAAAACTATATATATTAACCATTTTAAAAAACAATAAAATTCTATTTAAAAGAAAAATAATTCCAATAAAATTCTAACAACCTAAATTCTATCCTAAAAATAATATCTATTTCTAAAAACAAAATTAAAACAAAATTATTCTAAATAATTAAATAAGACAAAAATAGCAATAAAAAAATGCAAAGATGCCATGGAAAACGGGCGAGCACCGAAATGCGCCGATATTATCGATACAGATTGAATCATCAAGAAGAGAGCGACTTTCGCTCAAATTCAACACTGAACTTCTCGTTTGAATTAATTTGTATCGCCTGGAACGCGAGCAAAGCGGTTAAAATCCTGATAAATTCAATCTGGCTGGTAATACGGGCAAAATGCGACCTAAATGATATGCAGATGAAAACAAAGCAAAAGCCAATCAAAGTCGGAAAATCGGTGGGAAATTTTTAGGGTGCAACACTAGTGAAGATAAGAGTTCTGGGTCCGAGGAAGAAGATTGATAATAACCATCAAGGAAATAGAGCCAAAACAGATTTGATCAAATCAAATCACTCTTCAAATCTTCAAGATTTTCTTCAAAAAATAGCACAAAAGATTTCATAATTACTCCACGAATTATGCACAAAAACTCTTTTGAATAAGGACTATTTCCACGCATATTTGAACTACTAAAACTCTAAACAAAACAACGCAAAGAGTTGCACAACAACGCAACAGTCATACTTGACATCATGAACTAAACCCTGCAACAATAAACATAACCACCTGCAGAATGTTAAGAACATATTTCAAGACATCATGTAGGACATCTTGTTATGTCACCAAGTTTTACCAAAATTTATGCCAATTAAGAACTAACATTATCTATTCATGCAGAACTTTTAGCACTACATGAAGAAAGCCGAAAATGTGTTTGGTTGAGGTCCCTAATTCAACATATACAACAAACTTGTGGTTTGTCTAATGGATAAATAAATACAACAACCATAGATGAAGATAATACTGTATGCATCGTTCAATTGAAAGTTCTTTTCCGCTTATGATCTTTAGAAAATGGTGATATAAGCATTCAACAAATTCTTTCATGTGATAATCTTATAGACAATTTCTCAAAGTCACTCCCAAGTAGAGATTTTAACAACCTAGCACAAAAAATTGATCTTCATCATCGAAGAAATGATGGTTTAACTGATGGGAGAAATGAATTTATCTTAAAAGAATATTATACTTTTTTTCTACTGGATTTTTTCTAATAAAATTTTAACGAGGCATATTCTAAACGAACATTCAAAGGGAGTGTTATGCGTAGTAGATGTTAAATATGTCTGTCTCCTAAATAATTTCTTTCATTTTTTGAAATAATTTGCATTGATTAGTAATGAGACAATTTTCTAACAAAGAATGTAGTACCTTTTTTTACTTCACTAGAAATTTGTCCACATTAGTTATATCTATAAGATTTTGATGAAGCATATTTCTGATGGATATATATGTTTTATAAATAGGTCTCATTATATTTGAAACCAACAATGATAATAAAAATAATATAATACACTCTATTTTCCTTATTTCTCTCTTATATTATTTTGATCAGTTTTATAACATATAGAAAAATCTTTAAAAATATTAAAAGAATGGAGAATGAAAAGAAAATACTAATAAAGTGGGTAGTAAAAACGAAATAAAATAGAAAAAAAATGAAGTGAAAAAAAAATGAAGTACTATAAATGGAAAAGTTTATACAGTAATAGGAGAGAAAAGTGAAAAAGAGAGGAAAAGCTGAGATGAAAAGTGAATTATTAGAGGTATAGAGAGAAAGTTAGAGTGGAGTTTACTCCACAAATTAGTGAATCCTCTCCCCATATTTACAACCCTCTGATCAACATTAAACAATTAAATTTAAATTTAAATTTTCCTTTTCAAATTTAAGATATCAAATTTAAAATCTGAACCGTTCGATTTCATCAAACAGTCCAAATTATTTGATTCTCTACGGTAACTCAGTTGTGACACACACAGACATTCATATTTAAACCGTCTGATCAAAAAAGTGAATATTGGATGATTCTAAAACCCTCTTTCTCTCTCTGACCTGTCCAAAGCCGTCATTTCATTTCACACTTTCCGATTCTCTAGCTTTCTGTTTTTTCTTCTTTCTTCTTTCTCCTTTCCGTTTCAGTTATCAATCTTTCAATATAGTTAAAAAAAAAAGAAGCTCCGAAAACTTCAAACATTCTAACTTCTAACCGTTTCTTCTTCAGTTCCTCAACTTCTTAGGGTTCACTTCTAACCGTTTCTTCTTCTTCAGGCTCTACTCTTTTCCGTTTCTTGCTCACTTCATTTTCTGTAACTTCATTTTTCTTGCAGGTTTTTCTCGTTCTTGATTTTGACTTGCTGGAACGTGTTTTTTTTTTTTTTTGCTTTCTTTTTTCAGTACCGCGACCGAACTGTGAACGTCATTGGCTGTTGATGATTGAATTCGAGTTTGAAGTTTGAAGTTGAGATGGCGAGTTGGTTAATGCAAGACAAGAAATACGAGCTCGCGATTCGAGCTCTTCTTAGGCTCGAACCGAATCGGAGATGCATTAACTGCAACAGTTTGGTAAGAATGGTTACGTGACTGAGAATTACATTAGATTAGATTCTATCAATTGTTGAAGATATTGCTGAGAAAAACTAGAGAATCGGAGATTAATTAGTAGAAATAGAGCAATGTGATTCTTGATACTTGAATTACATGAGAAAAAATGAATTGGCGTCATAAATATTGTTATAACTATCTGAATTAGATAAGATATATGAATTACATAAGATTTATCAAATTGAATGAGAAGAAAGAGTTAGTGTCATAATCATTACAATTAGCTGAAATATATTGTAGTAGACAGGTAGTTAGAAGATTAATCCAACTGTAACAAAAATAACTAACTCATTAACTTCAACGGAATCACAAGGATTGGTCCTCTTGGATTAGTCGGTCGCAAGGCCGGATACCAAGATTTCAAAAAAACAAATGCATACTAAGTGCAACAGTCTACTAGGATGCTTACGCGATTGAAAAATACATCCGATTTTATCAAATTTAGAAGCTATTGCTCAGAAAAACTAGAGAATTAGATAAGAGATTAGTTTACAATTAGATTCTATCAAATGTGCTTTGTGACATTCGAATGGAATGAGAAAAATGTGTTAGTGTCATATAGTGGTAGTATGAAGGTTAACTAACTAAGTAACTGAAATATAACAAAAAAATAACTAACTCATTAGCTTTAAACTCTTTGTTAGATAATAGATTTGAATCCGACTTTACTTCTTCGAGCATGTTAATTTATCTGCTTTAAATGAATTGCTACTAGCTTTAGAATGTTGAATCCGTATGATATGATTTCTCCCATTTATACAAGCAAAACCGACAATCTTTCTATTTTTTGGGTGAATGGTTGAAAATTGGAGTGTGGGGTTAGATATGTATTCTTTTAATATGTAATTTGAACTTATCTAGTGATACAAATTAGTCCTGTAAAAATAAGTTATGATAGGTTCATTGGTTTTGGCTTATTTTAATCGGTGTTGTCAAATAGCGGCTATAGCAGCGCTATGACAATGTAGCATAATGGAATTTGATCAAACTGCCACTCTGAAAAGCGATTAACAATTGTGATTTTCTTAAGTAGTTCACCAGAGTAAGCATTTGATGATTGATAGTTCTTTATAATGACTCGCTGAATAAATGCTTTATTAAGTTCTATACCCATACACATCTATGGTTTTTCCATTTAGGGGTAAATTGTTTAATATTGGAGTGAGGCTTTACTTGATTAGTAGCATAATCTATGTTCATGAGATTTTTATATTAGATTTTGGGAACGTACCTTTTATATCATGCATTCGACTAGTGGCTGGCGAGCTGATACGTTATATATAGCCCCCATTTCTTGTGTTTGCAGTGGGAAACATGGTTCTTATCTGTTATTTCACTCCAAACTAGTTGATGAATATAGGCAGCGCTATTGTGGATACGTGGAAATTTTGGGCTCGCCGCAATGGAAAATATTGGCCGATATTGTGGGTTTTTCCACCATAATCCGCTATAACGGCACTGCAAAGCGGCCGGTATGAAGGATTTTGACTCTCCACCATGGCCCGCCATCGACAATACAATGAACAAACAAATTCGTGTTATTAAATTGCTTCTATTTAAAGGGCTGCTCATATTAGATTTTGGGATTCACTCATATATCGTTAATTTGGATAGAAACTGCTAGCAAAGCGACGGGTTATCCGTAACCCTCATATTTCTTGTGTTTTGTTAGGAAACTTGGGCTTACCGGTTCTGGCATTTGAAACCTGCTGATGAACATTATTATCAAAGCACTTCCATTTAGAGATCAGCTACTGATACGGATACTATCACCTTATACCCTTTCCTCATTTTACATTACATAATGGGAAACGTTCCTATTAATGATAAGGATATTGACTTCCTTTTTAAGCTATAATTGCTTATTTTTGACTATTAATGAGGATTTATTTTGTTAAAAAATTGCTGGATGTATTTTGTCCTTGGATTATATTATGTAAAGTAACTTATGGACCAACATCAGCCTTTTCAATTTATATATATTATGTCAAATTTGTTGTTAGTATTGAGCACTGAGAAAAAATAATACGATTTTTAGAATTAGTGGGTTTTGGTATTCAAAATTTTCAGACGCAGTTATTTGAAGTCCGTCCAGTTCTGAGTTAAGAATACTATTTCAAAGTTCCATCTGAAACCATACTCATGTTAGGTTCCATTAGAAGTGAAACTATAGTTAACTTTATTTTAGGGGTGTCAATCTGCACCTGCATTTTGCACATAATATAGGGCCCCAAAGGCCCGGTATTTTTCCTCGCGGGATGGGGAACATATTCCCCGCCTCCTCTAAATTACCACAGTATCCTGAACTAATATATAACTTTCATTTTATATGTTTTTTTTTCTTTTGATATAATTACTTTTATAAAAAAAAGTTTAAAATATATATGTAATGTTGGTAAGATAGAGAGATCTGATATAACATTTTAAAATGTAGAAGTTTGAAAAATTTGGTGGTCACAACTCTCATGAACATGGATTAAGTGTTTAAAATTATCATTTCTTTTAGTGTTTAAAAATCATATGGATAAATACTGTGCCCAGCACCTGCTTACTATTCTCTAAATTCCATGGAAAAATAGGGTCCTTTATAAAGAGACAAATTTGAATCTTTGCTGATAATGATATTTTTATCTATAGACTTTTATATGTTTAAAACTTCTAATCAGGTTTTAAAGCATTTTAGTTTTATTCTTCAGAATCTAGAAAGGAAATTATTGCATTTCACGCTATAACAAATTCGTTGAATTAATTATTATTTTTTATACTTTTGAAGGGACCACAATATGTGTGCACAAATTTCTGGACGTTTGTTTGTGCTAATTGTAGTGGAATACAGTAAGTCCTTATAAGAGTTTTGCTTATTTTAGTACCTATATTTCAACCCTGTGATTTGAGTTGAATACATGTTTTTATGGTTCATGGTGGCCTGCTTTAGCCAGCCTTAATGCTAATTTTTGAAAATTTTCCATTTGTTTTTGCTTTTATGCTTTGCATTTTGCACATGCCTTTTGCTGATGAACTTAAACTCAATGGTGAAACTTGAAACATATTTTTACTGCAAGTTGTGTACTCTTACTTTTGTAGTGTTTTTGGTCTGTATTAAGTCTAATGTGTATGCTCTCATATGTATTGTGCGTATAAATGATTAAGCATGATCTGTATCTTGTTTAAAAAGTATTGTGCTATACTTGACAAATTTGACCAATACATTTCCTTTCAATTGCACATTTTTCTTCAAAACTCATGGGGTTTTTGTGGGAATTGACAGCCGTGAATTTACACATCGTGTGAAATCAGTTTCAATGGCTAAATTTACTTCGCAAGAAGTTACCGCACTTCAAGAAGGAGGAAATCAGGTTTTGATGCCTTTTTGCGCGAAAACTTGTGCTGTTTGTTTATTCAATCTGCTTGATATCATATATTCTTGAAGTTTATTTTATCTTTATCTGATACTTGCAGCGTGCAAGAAAGGTTTATTTTAAAGAATGGGATGCACAACATCATTCTTTCCCTGACAGTGAGTAAGTACATGCTTGTACGTTTTCATGTGTTGTTGCAGAGTGCGTTATTCATTTATTTTGATTGTCAAATTTGGTGCCAGTAATGTTAACAGGCTCCGAGACTTTATTAAGCATGTTTATGTGGATAGGAGATTCACCGGAGATAGCACCTCTGACAAACCACCAAGAGTGAAAAACGTAAGATATAGGTTCAATTTCAAGTTGTGTGTTATTGCCTTTGCTTTAGAATTGATGAATTTGTCAGCCAATTCTAACTTAAGTCTACACTCTTGTGTTGCATGTTGTTCAGGGTGGTGACAAAGATGGGTCATATGAAAACAGGAGAGTTGAGGCATATCAGGGAGGATCTAAAAGCCCTCCACGTGTAGACTCACATGAACGCCGTCTTAGTGACAGGTCTAGTCCAGGTGGAAGAAGTCCTGGATATAATCAAGAAAGTAGGCAAGTTGGTGATTATAAGAGAAGTCCCGGTCGTCCTCCAGTTATCAATGATTGGCGTCGTGAAGATCGTAGAATATCAGATGGAGATTATAAGACGGAAAGGCAATCCCCTGTGCAAGCCAGAAATCTGGGCTCTTCTAGCCCATCTGTGGGACGATCTGTTAGAGAAATTTTGGGAGAAAATGTAGTACCTCTCAGGATAAGTGGACCTCCCGAACCGAACAATGGAAAAGCTGCCGATGCTTCAGCATTGACACAGGTGAAACTATTACTGATGCTGATGTTTCATATGGTCTGTTTAAAATGTAATATAAAAACCAATCAAATCATGCATTCTTGTGTTCTTCCTGATAGCTTACGGTGTAGGGGATTGTTAGTTCATGACATAGGACCTGTTTGGATTAGCATATGTAAACTTATCTACTGACATAAATTGTGTGAAACTGTTTGGGCAAATTTATGTAAACAACTTATGATATTTTTCATAAGTGTTTTTCAGCTTATTATCTTTAAGTTTCGAAATATCTTATGAAAACAGTTTCTAGTATATACAAATACAATTTAAAATTATTTTATCATTTGCTATAGAAATAGTATACGTAAGCTTATGCTTAAGAACTTGTGCTATAAGTTGTTTATTCAAATAGGCCCATAGTATCATAGCTTATATAACCATCTTGTCTAAAACTTCGATTTGCCACTCCCGTTGGCCCATTTATTCTTTGAACAATAGTTGGATTTCAGCAGGCGTGTTTGTGTATTTTCCATGCTTCAAGGCCAAAGTGCTCTTCTTGAGGGGAGTGTGTTAAAGATATAATATAAAAAATATCCATATTTCTTCACCTAACATTGTAAGCTTTAGGGATTTTTTTGTTTATGTTAGGGCCTGAGCTGCAGATTGTGACCCTAGTGGGCAGTTAGTTCACCAAAGTACAACAACAACCAAGCCTTATCTCACTAAGTGGGTACATGGAGTATCTCACTAAGTGGGTACATGGATCAAATTCTGCCATAATGTTCTTTCAATACTATGTTTCTATCCAATTCATTAATCTCGAGATCTTAATAGTTTCTCTTATAGTTTTATAGGTCTTCTTCTACCTCTAATTGTTTGACTCCTCTCCATGTGATCTACTCTCCTTACAACAGAATCTACCGGTCTTTTCTCTCCATGCTCAAATCACCTAAGCCTATTTTCCACCGTCTTTTCTACTATAGGTTCTACGCCAACACCTCTAATATTGTCATTTGTAATCTTATACTGTCTAGTCTTACGACATATTCAACGCAACATCCTCATCTCTGCTAGACTGGTAGGCCTAAAATATGGAAAGTGTATTCTAGAATGGGTAAGAAAGGTACTATTGGAAATGTTCTAACAGAGGAGTGACGTGGCTTTAGAGAGGTTAGGACTGATAGCCGAATCCACGATATAAGGAAGGGTATGGATTGAGGGAAGCACCTGGAATAAGTGAGGGATTAGTTATAGAAGGTTAGCTCTGTGGCAGATCTACGGTGCAAATTCCCTGTCTGTAAATCACCATTTTCATCATAATAATACACAGTCTCCTCCATTGTTCAATTTCTGTATTGATTACTATAGTTACTTCATTTGGTTCCTAACAGTTTATGATTGGTTCAATCACTCGACTCTTGATCCTTTTCCTTGAATGTGCTTCATTATTTATCTATGATATGTTTAGTTTTATGTTATTCAATTATACTTCAGAGATGTTTGTTTTTTTGCTTTAACAACTAGAGATATTTTTTCGTTTTCAATTTACTGTTAAATATATTATTTTCTTTATATTCTTTGAAGTTTTCTTGTAAGATTTGGCTCAGCATTTACAGTTTACTTTGTATTGCATGAATTATTTTCCCATCTCCTCTTTTAGTAAGGTGGCCAACTTGATTTTGTACCCAAATTATACAACAATAACTGACTGTTAATGATTTCAGAGAACTGCATCCTCTGGTAGCTTGGTACCCAGTAATGAAAGTCAAGTAAATATTAAGCTTGCGACCACTAAGAGCCTTATTGATCTTGATGCTGATCCTGAACCTATTGCTCCCACAATTCCTCAAGTCCAACAAACTAGTGTGCCACAACATGTGTTGCAACCAGGAAATTCCAGTGATGACAATTGGGTCTCTTTTGATGTTGCTTCTGAGGCGAAAGCAAATCAAAGCACCTCAAATTTAAATCCACTGGAATCCATACTGTCCCAATCGTCTTATTCGGCATCTTTATCTTCTCATGCTTCGGGAGTCCAAGGTGAGATACAGGTTGTAATGGCAGTGTGAAAACATCACCAAGAAGTGATGACTCATTTTATTTTATATCTGCAGGACCTGTTCCAGCAGGGGCTCTTAGTTTTGGTGGTTTATCATCTTTCCCATCCAATGGTACTTCGATGCTATCTTCCGGACAGGCAGTTGTATTACCTCAAAATAATGTAGGACAGTGGGCTAGTTCGCAGCATCAGAAACCAATGTTCTCTGCTGTAAATAGTCAGGTTTGGTTAATGGAGTTGTCATGTCAAATACTGTTGACGGTTTATTTATAATGTAGTATTATTTTCACCATCCTGGAAATATCTTGCAGCCATCGCATGTACCTTCTGTAACCACAGGACAGGGGTATCCAAATACACCAATGCCACATGCATACCATCATGCTTCGAAGCCAGCCAATGAGGCTTTTAATAGTATTCTTTCTCAACCTTCTGCTGTAGAAGCAAAACCAAGTGGAAGAACAGAACCTCCTGAAGTAATTGTGACTTCTTACTTCACAACCTTTGTATTTTGTATACACTTGCATGTGTTTATTGTTTGCCTAACAATTAATTTTGATCGGTGCAGGATCTGTTCACTACAAAACTCTCTTCCTTCTCTGCTCCAGTTCAAGGTTGGCAGGCAGGGCTTCCCCAGGGCACGGGCAACTCAATGCAATATAATAATAATGTGGTGGTACTGTTACAATCCAGAATGATTAGCTTACCAGATTATCTTAGTATACATTTAGGTTTTATGCTCCAAACAGCTTATGATTAATAATCAATGAGAGAGAGGACCTTTCTTTTTTTTATTAAAAAGGACATTTCCTTCACAAATAGTCAACCAAATGAGTATTTCTCTCATAAATGTGAGCCCTGTGTTACAGCCAATACCAAGTTTTTCGGAGCCATCAAGGTCAACAAATCCATTTGATGTCAGCAGCAAACAAACCCCAGATCAAGACCAAAGTGTATGTGACTTTCATTGATTTATAATATTAGTATGTTCACTGTGTTGTACTATTGTCAATAATAGTTCTTACACTTGTCAATGATTGGTGAATAATGCATGAGTATACATTTAAGTCACTAATATTAATTGTTGTGTATTGAGGAATTTTCTCTTCGAAAGTTCACATTTGTTGATATTAACAACTGTTTGGATTTTGTCCACAATTTCGTAAAAACCTCTTCATTTATTTTTTGTTTCTATCGGAAGTTAGTTAACTGCACATTACTGCATAAAGTTTGCATCTTGTGTTTAGCAGAATTATACTGATTGATAAGAATATTTGGTGTTGAAAATTGCTGTCTTTTTTTTTTTTTTTTTTTTATGATCTCCTATCATTGACAAGGTCGGAACATTGAAATGTGATATACTGACATTTTAACATGTTGATTCATTTGTTAATTCAGACAGTATATATGTTGTTTTCATTGGCTGCAGTTTCCTTCCATTTCATTCTTGGATGGTGCAATGTCTTGTGTATCGCCACCATTCCCGATGCACCCTCCATGCCAGAGCAATCTATTGCATGGATGGAATCCACCCCTTCCTAATATAGGCACTATGCACTCTTCAAGCCTGGGTTTGCAACCACATGCATGGAATCCTCCACCCCTGCCTGAAATACCATCTTCAGGCACTTTGCACCCTTCAAGCCTGGGTTTGCAACCACATGCATGGAATCCACCCCTGCCTGAAATACCATCTTCAGGCACTTTGCACCCTTCAAGCCTGGGCAATCCATCCCATGCCTGGAATCCATTCCTACCTCCACAAGCACCAATTCATGCATCAGCATTGGGACTAGGTATGTTTATCCTTTTACCATTCTTCAGTTCACTCACGTATGCCTACGGTCATTTGCTTTTCAGTATCCTGAACCATGTTAATGTATCTCAGGGTCTAACAATGGGCAGCAAATGCCAAATAACACGCCAATGCCAAGGTAAATTTTTATCTTCAATCATGATCATATTTATTACTTGCTCAGGCTGTTTTAGCTTATTAGATTTTAGATTTCCTCTTGGAAACTCATTTTGGGTCCAATCCTTCATCTACTCTCCCATCCATGCTGTATAGCATGAACTTCAATGATATGGTGAACCATTTATACTTATAAAAACACATTTTAGCCACTCATTTTACAGTTTCACTGATGTTGTTCTTTGGCTAGATGCCTATAAGGCGTGATTGCTGATAACTGCCCAGAGTTTTTAGTTGTCCTAGCTTTTGGAATAATCTGTGATGGGGACAATTAGTTGTAGATATAATTGTAGAATTTATGAATAATAGATTGGTGTTCAGTATTAAGAGATTTTAACTGAATATGCAGGCAAGAAGCTGGGAATTATGGAGCTGAGCTAGACATTTTCGGCTTGTCGAATCCAGATCAGCAGCTGACTGGTAAGCCGTCAACCACTCCCACCTCTCACCCCTTCCCTAAAGGAGGGAACCCATTCGGATAATGTAAAGATTTGTCATTGGACTTGTAAATTCAAACATCAGCCCGTTGCACCATGTACAAATACATGTAATTTTCGGTTTCTATTGTTTGTGGATCGAATCGAGGTCACACCTGCATAGTGAAGGACTTGTGATAACCGGCTCTGGGTCGAATATTCCATTGAATGATTGTAAGTAACTTCTCTCAGAGATACATCAACATGTAAATGGTGTATATATCTTTGTTCCGAGAACCCTATTGCCTATGACTAAATTTTCTGGGGTGTTACATATGAAGTTGGAAGATTCAACTACATATGTACATAAAATATGCCAGTTTGAAGATCTGAATACTCAGAATATCAAATCAAGGAGCTTCTCATGTAGATTCAGTATGTCTGTTCTTCCATATAATTGGGGCTATCAGAATCCATACTGTAAAAAAGATAAAAGCTTCCTTTAGTTATCTTTTCTCAAGAAATTACACACAATGTGCTGCATTAGAATCTACAAAACACTAACGTTGGTAATTATAATTTAAGAAAATTAAAGTAACTGAGTGTAACTATACTTGTCAGCGTCGATGTTAGACAAACACATGTTGGACACAGATCAAAATGTTGTCAATCTGCGAGTGTTGTGTCATGCTGTTGTTAGACACTCATTAAAATGTCGCAGCTACATATTATAACTCTCTTTCTTTCTCAGATTTAATATTTTTATTTTTAATTGATCATAATACTTGAGAAAAAAAAAAAAACTTACAGTATACACAGACTGCCAACCATTCATTTACTATTCTGACCCAAGCACTGGTCCATCCCACATCAAGTGACCATCTGCAGAACGGCATAGCATTAGCATTTTATTTCCACAAAATTTATTGCCGCCCTTAAAGAAAGAAATAGTAAACACCAAATAAATATGCTACTATAAATGAGAAGAAGCCAAAAAGAAAAGTTATAGCATTGATGACAAACATTAATAGTCTAATATGTCAACCAAGGAATACACATAAGCTTCATTAAAAACACATTTATTTGTTTACTTATTAGGCGGCATCTAGATTTATATATGATAATTTTATTTGAGTTTCTCACTTTTTTTTTTATCTTTTTGTTGATAAAACAAAACTAAAAAACCTAGTACGGTGTTGCCCATAACAGGTACAAGATGGAACCATACTTTTTCATTGAATGATGACTATTCCATCCAACCAATAGCATTGCAAAGTACATAGCTCCTACGGCAAAAACAAAATGAAAGAAGCCATAACCATATGGAACATCATTTTCTTCTGTTGCCTTCTCAGTCTTCTTTAACTGCAAATTAACTATTTGTGTCAGATATGTATCTATTGCAGAAAATTATATTAAAATTCAATTTTGATTTTAATATTTATAACACACCTGAAAGGATTTAGAATCTATGCCTGTTGAAAATGTTGCAAAAACTATTGCTAGTATTCCAATAACAAAACTCTGCCAACAGTTATTGTCACATGTCAGTCAACATTGAAGACAGTAATGTTAAATCATGTATTTTAGTGCTTAGTAAATGTTTTAAGCAATGATGTCAAATCCGATCTGACCGGTTCAACAGAGACCCAACTAGTTTTCCGGTCGTTCAACCACAGTTGATTCACAATTTTATAGAACCATATCACAATTTTAGATTCATATTTCCAACATTAATTTTGAATTTGAATAGATTATGAGATAAGAAATATTACAATGATGTTTAGCCAGTCGGTTTCGGGCATAGTGCCTGCCTTCCGGATGCATTGATCTCCTTCGGGTTCACTGCATGCACAAATATGATTTAACATTCATATTCAGTCAAAATTAATTTTTATCACCGCAAAATCAAACACGAAACCCTTACCTTCTAATTGCACACCAACAAAGGAAGACAACATATAGTCCCATCAACCCTGGACTTAGAAGTCCACCATTTACCTATTGAGAAAGAAAATTTACACATTAAATTATGATTGTGGAAAAAGTGAGTTTAGCAAATAAAATGAGCTTAAAATAAAACTTACTTTTGGGTGAAGAGATACACTTGTCATGAGTTGGAGAAGTACTAAAGACCAAGTAATGAAGAAAATGTTCAGAAGGCATGATGGTATTGGTGCATACCAAATGTACATCAAAATTATTCCCACCAAACATATAAAATATGAAGTTGTAGCAAATATCATCACATGGATTTTGCTGCACATGAATTCAATGTTAATATAAGCATAAATAAAATTGATGAACTTGCAAACTTCGTTTATTAACAGAAAATCTTACAATCTTTCTGCATATGTTTCAGATGCAAAATACTCATTAAGCCAATTAATGAAGCTGATTATGCTTATCAGTTGAATTAGGAGGAAAACTCTGAAAAGGATAAACAATTAAAACAGTCATATATCAATTTAAAATAGTAATAACAATATGGTTAAGTCATTTAGAAGAGAATGAAATCTATACCCACCCAGCACCAAATTGTGCTACCTGCCCTGCCAAAAAAAAAAAACAAAAAACAAACTGTCAGAGAAATGACATAATATTTTTAAAATTGGATAGAATATCGAACCAGTCATGATTCAACCGCTTTAAACCACTCGAACCATCAAATAACCAAATATTAGACGATACCAGTTCACGGTTCAACTGATTGAATCATCTGGATCGAGAGTTTTAAAAACATTTACAAATATATAGAGTTTGATTTTTGAAGAGACAAAGTTTACCAACCATAGAGTTCAATCAAAGGAGAAGGGAGTAAAAATGGAAAAATTGTCAATAGAATCCATAGAACAATCTTTATTGACCACCATCCAGAATGCCATTTATCTCTTGCTTCATTCAATTTAGAAGCTCTTGTAGTTGACCAAAACATCATCATAAAAAACAGCTTATCAAGAATAATTAAGGTTCACTTTCATCATAAAGAAAATAAAAATCTCATTAGAGCCTTTCATCAAATAGATCATATGCACATATTCAAAAATTTATTTTTAAAGGATACAAAGCACCCCATGCTCACTCTTAAGACACCATTTGCTCCCAAACACTCTTTTTCAACCTTGCAGACTTTTAAACCTGTGGTCGCAATTACGATTACACTGCAAACCTATATACTTCAAAAAAATGCATAATACATCTGTAATTGCGGTTGAAGAGTGATCTTACCTTTGAGTTTTGTTAGTGTACTAATGCTAGAAAGTTCATCACGTGCAGACCATGCCAATAGATTAGCAGCTAGAAAAATAAAGCCATATACATATCTTGCCATCAAAGGATTTGATATGTTTTTGAATTGTTTACACCATGAAGAATCCTTTAGTCCACACCACCTTTCTTGCTTACTTTCTCCTATCTCCATCTTTTTTTCTTCCCCTAAACACTACACAATCATAAATTCAAGAATGTGATTCATTCCACCGATAAAAATATCTTCTATTCTCGAGACTGAAATAAAAAGTAGCTGGCGCAGAAACTTAACAGTAGAGAGTCAAACTTATCTTAAAATATATACCCATATCATGTTAGAATTGTGGTTGAACATAATTCAGAATTCGAATGAAAATTAAATAAAAAAAAATACAAAAATCATTCTCATAAACAATTCTTTCTCTATATTTGGCTGTGTTATAAAATCTTTGATCATACGCAAAAATTCTATATTCCAAACTTTAAGGTATGCCAACCATGCTTTTATAAGATTCTCTTTAATTTGGCTTATAGTAGCAAAGTAGTTAATCGATATATAGAATAAATTAACACTAAGCAAGAAACTAATCATTTTTCTAGAAAATATATTCAATTGAACATGTCTTTACCTAGAAAATCATTTACCTTCTTCAAGTGGAAGATTGGTAATATATTACAATCATATCATTAATTAGATTCTCTGAAAAAAAAAACATCTTATCAAAGATTTTCTTTATATATTCATTCACTTTAAAATGATTTTTGTAGAGTTCTTTAAAACACTCAAAATATATGAAATGTACGATAATGTAATTCTGAATAAAGTGAAATAATTTACATATTTTAACTTTTGATAATATGTAAAGTTTAATTTTTCCATCAAAAGAAAACTTGTCTTTTTCTTTTTAATTTTTTTATTTGTTGGATGAAAGTGAAACAACTTTATCATATCATTAGTTATACCTTTTGGTATTTTTCTTGGTAGTGCCAAAGAGGTTTTTTCAATAAAAAAGAAAAGTTAAATATTACTTTCTTCCATATAAAAATATTAAAAATTGAACTTAACATCTGTTAACCATTTTAGTAAGTAATTAAGTAATAGGTTGATAGTCAAGTGACTATTTTAAATATTTTTTAATCATCTTAACATTATTATACCAGAAAATGATTTAATTAGTAATTTCACTAAATTCCAAAATATATTTAAAAAAAAGTTAAAGTTTATAAGTACAAAAAAAAATTAATTACATCTAATATAGATATATTTCCAAAGAAAATATAGAACAAGTTAACAACAGAATATTTCTTCATCAAATAATAGAGATGAACACATGCAACAACATGAATTAATAAATAAAATAAAAGATATGAGAGGAAGTACCTTAATACCAAAAATTCTGAATGAAACTCTTTCTCTTTTTGTTTGCAATTTATAGAGAAATAAAAACACAGAGAGTGTTTATTTGTCTTGAAGGTTTTATAATGATGGTGATGAAGATGAAATAGGCATGCAGTGAAGAAATAAATGAAAAGAGAAGAAGTGGTTGCTTTTAATAGCTTTTCTTTTTGCTTTTTTGCAACTTTTATTTATTTTCCAGCCGTAAGCTTATGCTTCATTCATGTACTTTCTTTCCTCTCCATGTATTCTTGTCCCTTTCAAGGCAATCTATTTATATACACACTCCTCTCTCAAATATTTTATGTATACTCATTAACTTCTTAATTGTCTCACTCAATATACATATGATAAATTATTCAATCAAGTTTTGATAAATTAAGGTTATTTTAGTAATTTTCTATATTTATTTGATTTTAATATTGTTTATTTAGTAATTTTTTTTACATAACTTCTTATATTTGTTTTCTTTTATTATTTTAATTATTTAGTAAAAGTTATTTTTCTTATTTACTTGTTATATTTATTTTATTTATTAATTTTATTATTTATTAAAAATTGATTTTCCAATTAGTTCTTATATTTATTTTATTTTTTTATTTTTAATTATTTAATAGAATTTAACGAAATTTACAATTTTTGGTAGTTAAATGTCTATTAATATTATTTGTTTATAAATACTAAATGGGTCACTCGGATGACAAAATAATCTTTAACATTTTTGTTTTATTATCTACTTATTTAGTTATTTGTTTAAATTAATATAACATTTAAATTAATCTAACGTTAAGTTTGTTTAGTTTGAAAGAGCTATACATGAATTGATTTGTGTTGGTGATAGATTCTTTAATCCTTTTTAAGGATTATGAAGTTCTATACAACATCTTTTTATTTGTTATTTGATTTCGTTTTTATATACAAATTTGTTATATAATGTATGTGTTGTGTGTGGTTTTATTTCTTCTTTTAGACCATTGTTGTTATAATAATTGTATTCTATTTGACAACCTAACTATTTTTGATATGGTTTTATTTTATGGAATTAGGTTTTTCTATTTTGTCCTCTTTTATTTTTATTTAATATATTAATGGTTTATATAAAAAAAATACATCATTAAGTTATTTGATAGTTATATTTTTCCACTTCTCAAAAACATGCTATGCATCAACGTTTTTAATATTAACTGGCCCACTTTTTTTTTACTCAATCCCTTTATTTATTATCGGCTAGCTAACAATTGGATTGAAGGGATAATAAAAATAATATATATATATATATATATATATATATATATATATATATATATATATATATATATATATATATATATATATATATATATATATATATATATATATATATATATATATATATATATATATATATATATATATATATATATATATATATATATATATATATATCGCCTAATAATAAATTTAGTTAAGTCTTGTCATTTATTGATAAAAATAACTTTTTTAATAATTTTTTTTTAAGTTGAGTTTTTTTTATAATGAATCTATTTTTTAAAAATTAAAACAGGATCTTTAAATTGTTTGAAAGAATATTAGCTCAAATTAGAGGCTTGCAAGCATAACCTACATGAAAGAATTATTTGGTCTAAGGGTTCCACACTCTTTAATGGTAGTTACTTTAAAGAGTCAACTTTCAACCTTATAGAAATTAATAGATAGGTGGGGAATTTACATCACTAAGTAGGGGTTATTAGGAGTTTTTCCGAAAGATTAGGTCTATGAATTTCTGAAAGTTGAGTTCTGGTTTTTCTTAAATAGATTAATTTCAAACAAACCTCTGCATTGGTTTGAATAAGAATTTTTGTCTTTCACAAAAATATTGGCGAACAAATATATTTGTATTGCTAATAGCATCGAAAACTCCTTTGTGCATCGATGCAGCCACAAACAAACCAAGTTTTTTTTTGGGAATTATGTGGGAATTCTGGTTGTTGTTCATGTTAATGTTTAATAGAATAACTTTTCAATGTTGATGATCAAAGAAATTTTTTTTATAATATATACTGATTTCTTAGTTAACAACATCAAAAAACTTATTCTTAATTATATTGTAACACACAAATAAAAAATTGATGAATGATAAAAAAAAAATAATACTTGTCACTTCAATTTTTTTACAATAGAAGTCATATATTGCCTCAATTCTTTATAAACTGAAGTTAAAACCAAAAGGAAAATAAGCGTGTTTATTGAACTTTTTTCCAATCCTTACACAAATCTTTGTCGTCTATTTAGTGAATATCAACGCTCAAAACACCGCCATTAGTGATCCACGTGAAACTTAAAAGACATTCATTCAGAAGGCTCATGTCATATTATAAAAGCATTATGAATATCAAAATGGATCATAAAAGTATTTGTCATGAAAACATTGAAACTTATTTGTTTTATATCAGAAATATTGAAACATTGTTCTCTATGATGGATTGCAAGAGTAGAAAATTGTTTAGGTTTAAGGATCAAATATTTGGGTTTAAGATTTGTATTATTAAATAATCATATAACTGAATATTTTAAACAAATGCATAAAATATCCAACATTTGATCTTCCCCAAGATTCAATGAAATGAGGATTCAACTTTTGTTCTTCACGTACAGTGATGGCGATGGATTGGATTCAAAATTTTTTGTATATTTTTAATTTAATATTTTGTGTAAACGATGTAATATTATGTGTAAACAATGTAATTTGTAAACAATTTAGTTTAATATTTTGTATAAACAATATAATTTGTATTAATTTTTTAATATTATTTTTCTCCTCGATTTTGGTCGTAAACCAAGAGGTATGTGACACTAATTTTAAAAACATAAAAAAATATTTTTTCTAGGGATCGAACCAATGAGAAATTGAGTGTTAAGTGACAAGTTTTGATGATGTCATTCGATACCTCGCTTGTATCACCTAGGTAACATCCCCTTTGTGTCCAACGTAACATGTGTTTTTTGTAGTAATAAAATTATTTTACTCCAATTCTATTGCCAAACTTTTCTCCACATAGTAATGATTCATTCCTTAATGTTGACATTAACTTGTCCATTATGTATGGAGAGTCTGCAAATGTCCTAGAATTTTATCAAAAGAGTTTAAAGCGGAGTTGGTGGATACAAAATCGGTAATAATTCAGTACTTATTCAGACATTCAGATGTGTCAATCGCGTATCTAGTCTTCTCTTGAGACGAGATGGTAGTTATTTTATTCAAACTATTTTTTGAGACACCTTGTGACATCTGGTTATTTTAAAGATAAGTTTAATGTCCACCGGATACTCTCGAATAAGGTAGGATATATGTTGTGAATCCTAAGAATTCCGAGAATGTAAATCTTAAGAATATGAATCCTAAGAATTCTGGAAATTAATGTGTTCGGAATCAATGTGCATGAAATCATTAAGAATAGTGCTTGAAATTAAGAAGAACTCGTTTTGCTTATTTTTGTTTGCTCATTTAAAATTCTTATGGTAGTTTTTGGTGTAGATTCTCAAAGCGTTATGCTTAAATTAATATAGAATTTTAAAATTATATATAAATCAAATTGAATATTTTCATTAAAAAAATTACTAAAATTTATTAATAGAAAAATATGTTTAATGTATTCATAGTGTGTCGAAGTCGAAATAGTAAGGAAGCTGTCGAAGTATAAGTCAAGTGTCGAAGTGTCGAAGTTTTCAGTGTGTCGAAACAGTTTGTTTTGACACAGATTTGTTTTGATGAGATTTGATATGATTTAGACTAGATT